TACATCAATGTACATCATGTACATGGTACATAATTTTTGCTATCTCCTCCATTTCTACAGGCTCAACAGATGCGATTGCTTTCTGCACAACAGGAAACAACGATCCCATAACATCAGCCCTTCACATCATTTTAGGTTAGTAAAAAGTTTAATTTTCACTCAGTCTCATTATCATTTAATTAATATCTAGCCCTTGTAGATAGTCTAGTAACTGAGGCGAATGGCTTGTTTACATGTCAGACTGACAGACAGGCGGTCAAATGGACTAACAGACTACCTGAAGAACAGCCAGCCAAACAGACAGACAGACAGACAGGTAGACAGACCCACAGACAGACAAACAGATGGATGGAGAGATGAAAGGATAGACTAACTGACTGACAGACGGACTGACTAACTGACTGAGCGACGGATTGATTGACTGACTGTCAGACTGATTGACTGACTGACTGACTGACTGTCTAACTGACTGAGCAACAGACTGACTGACTGATTAATCTGGGCAATGACTGATTGACTGACTGACTGACTGTCTGACTGATCTGGACACTGACACTCTCTTGTTTTAAATTCATTTTTAAGGTGACATTCAGCCTCTTGACGTCTGCTGTGTCAAGAAAAAGAATGAAGTGTTGCGTTACAATGTTGCCATGGCAGCATACGGATTTTTTGGTGACGTCATGCAGGATAGTGAAAAACTTCGCTGGATGGGACCTAAGCGTTATGACTTGTCTGGCTTTAAAAAGTTCATGTCAAACAGGTACAAAATTAACTACATGTATCTCTTTGAACTGTATGGTAAGTTATGATAACCTCAGGCAAAGAACAGGCTGCCTACAAATGACAGAACGTTCTTTGTACATGCAGCCAGCTTTCAGTGACTTGTGAAGCGCGTTGTCTACAAATTTGTAGCACTATTTAGGAAGCGTCCACGCTACGCTGGAGAAAAATGAAAGCGTAGCTTTATTATTACAGTTAGGCCCTGAGTTAGGCCTACCGTCCATGCACGCTAAGCCGTCACGAAAACGGAGCTTTTCGAAAACGCTCTTCAAACCGGATGAATTTGAAAACGCCGGCTTTTCCTTTCGAGTGGACAGAAAACATTTCGAAAACGGAGCTTTTCGAAAATGATGTGATTTCCCCTAGTGAGTTTTCCTCAAACACAAATCCAAAATGACCGGTGATTGTTGTGTTTTTAAATTCCTCCGGCGCAGTGTGCAAGAAAAACATCTGATGCGTTTTCAGAGCGAAATCTCCGTTTTCAAATTCCTCCGGCGTATTGTGGACGTGGTCTAATACTGCTCTCACGTACTTCATGCCGTACATTAAGTATTATTTGAATTCCCTTGTGTTGTTAACATTTGTTTGAAATCTGCGCAACCCTTTCAAGGTCGGCACACACGAGGGGACTAGTAACTACAACTAGTCCCCTGAAGAGTTTACACGAAGGGACTGGTCGCAGGGACTTGTCCCTTAGACTACGAGTAGACCCTCTTTCGCTTAGTCCGTCGTGCGTGACGCGAAAGAAAACCGCGAGAAAAAAAAAATGGCCACGCGAAATCCTGGGGCTGAGGAGCGCGCGAAAGGATTTCGTGCGGCCATTTTTTTCTCGCAGTTTTTCTCGCGTCACACCCGACGGACTAAGCCGCGAAAGAGGGACTACTCGTAGTCTACTTTCCCCACGAACAGTTCACACGAAACGTTTTGAGGAACAAGTCGCAGGGACTTGTCCCAAAAATTCAAACCAGTTTGAATTCGTGGGACCAGTCACAGGGACCAAATTTTAGCCCCTGCGACTAGATTTTGTGGTAAAAATGGCTAGTTCACACGATGGGACTTGTCCCCGCGACTAGTTGCAGGGACTACACTGTAGTCCTCTCGTGGGTGCCGACCTTTACTGCCACAAGGAACCTGCTAGTACATTTGCGAATCTACCCTCTTCTTGTTATGTAACAGGGGTTACGACGGAGTGGTAACATTTCTACCGGCTCCAGCTGTGGAGAACAGTCCTCAAGACAAGACCAGGTGCCGGTCTGGGTGAGTTAATAAAAGTGTGATGCATGCAGCTTGTTGATCTGGTTGGTATAGAAACAAAGAAGGGGGAAACAAGACGTGACATCTTCATGCTTGAAGAATGAAGAACAACTTCGCTGGAGCACTAGTTACGACTTTTAAGCTTCCACCAGTTTTCAAGATAGACAATGTTAGTGTCTCTCGATCGAAATTATGTGAACATTTACTTTGTTATCCTAAGACTTTGAAAAAAGCGCTTCTTTCTCCCTCCATCTGTTATAGCATGTCTTAAAATGGCAAAGCGGCTGATTTTCTTTAAACGATGTTTTTATTTCATATAAGGTGCAATGTATGTAATGATGTCTGCGACTCCAGTCTACAACCAAGCTCTCGACAGTCCAGTGAAGGTTAGAGAATGTTATACCTCCAAACAACTTGCAATACTCCTAATATCTCAATCCTCTGTCGTTTTTGTCCATTTTGTTTGGTTTCAACTTACAATGCCATGGAAACTCGCCTTTCTTGAGTTTATCCGATCAACCAGTCGGACTTCAATGCGGTGCTGTTTACAGCAGCTGAAATACATGTATTCAAATTTGTCTTCCGTCATTTCGTCTCAATCTTTACTAATCTCAGCAATCCTTGTTACTTTTCGGTTTGTTGTTACTAGTTTAGTGTTTTTTTGTTTCTTTTTTTACCTTAGTGAATTATTATTTTTAGGTTTTTTTATCTGAAATTAGTTTTGTACCGCTCAAAAAATCCTCGTCGTAAATATCATTTCAGGTTGGCATTCCATCAAAGGGCGCTTCATCAGTGTGATCGGAGCGAACATCTCCTGCGCATGCGCCAAGAGTCCTGAAGGTCTGTCGCCCAGTGCTCACCTGGCGGACGGTTGTTTGGACCTGATTCTTGTTAAACACACGTCACGGTTGCAGTACCTCAGACACATGATCAGACTTTCGTCTAAAGCTGATCAGGTCAGAAGCCATAATAACCTTACTGTTACATACGTTTCATAACATCATCATAGGAGAATATCGGTTACAGTCAGACTTATTATTTCTTGGAGGCCATCCGAAAGAGACGTCGAATACTCGAATCAAAAACTTTGGCAAAGGTAAAATCTGTATCGGGCCAAGTTGTCCCATACCGCCGAAGCTTTGCCTGTATCCAGGTACTTACTTGCTCTTATCACTTTCCTTCTCCTCATTTGCACAGTTTAACTTTGACTTCGTGGAAGTTCATCGCGTTCGCGAATTCTATTTCCGACCCCTTGCTGAAGAGAGCGAGCTTGAGAACGAGACTGACGGTATCGAGGAGACTGGTGCGAGAGAAGATGACGAAGAGCGGCTGGCTGCCAAAACGTCATCATCTACGTCACGACCTCGTGCCAGGAGCATATGGAACGTTGATGGGGAGTTGGTAACACATCCCGCCATTCACATCAAGTACGAATTGTTGCTTGTTTAGTTAAATTACGTAGGGCTTACAATATACTGTGCACCTGTGCCACTTATAATACAAAAGTGCTCAAAGTTCTGAAAAATGTTAGGGGTCTTTTTTTCGTTTACCAAGGGACCCCACTTGTACAGCATAATAAACAGTACCTCATGAAAGTACTGCTCAATTTCTTTCATTTTATTGGTCACACACTAGGGTTTGATCCACAGACTTAAAAGTTAGAACCACCTTGAACAGAATAATAAACAGTACCACATGAAAGTACTGCTCAATAGCTTTCATTTGATTGGTCACACACTAGGGTTTCATTCACAGACTAGGTTTAACAACCTTGTCCAGTATAATAAACAATACCACGTGAAAGCGCTGCTTAATGGCTTTCACATGGATGTTCGCGCTTGCAATTAGTTGCAAACTATAGTGTTTCCCCTTTAGACTCAAGTACAAGCGCTTTTAAGACGACTTTTTTTCCTTTTTATACCATTTATTTGTTGATATGGAATTTGTTTACCTGTTTAGTCATTGTTCTAGTTTTTATAATCCTTTGTTTTTCAGGGTCCACCGCCAACTGATTCGTCTCTTCGCCCGAGGAATTGAGGAATGCGAAGACACTCCCTCTTGTACAGTTTGCAAAAGACGATAGATTTAGTTTGCATTTCAGAATTATTTTTAGCAATTCTATGCGTATTAGTCTATTAGCGGTTTTGTGACCGAGGTTAGGCCTGGACAGATCTTTTTCAATTCGACTTAGGTTCTCTTGATGTAAAGCCTTAATTTGCTATTTACAAATCAATATCAATTTTCATAAGAGTTTTTCAACCAAATTAAGCTCAAGAAAGATCTCTATAAATACATGCTACAAAAAAGTAAATATTACAATTCCCACTCGAAAATAACATAGCTAGTCGAGTCGGGAGAGACAACAGTTTATAATTACATGTAATGGACACGCTGAACGGGAAAATCTTTTGTGGTTGTTTAATCAACGTGTCAGAACTCACGTTTCCGAGCGTCACAGACGGGAACCTTTTTGATACGTCTTTCCTTCGCACTACGTATATGGGTATGGAAGTTCTGACCTTTACGACTCAGTGACTGGGCGATCCTGACGTTACGGACGTGGTTAAGTGGAATATAAGATTAGGTTATTATAAGATTGAGATAATTCACATTGCCTCACGAATATTCGTTCTTGTTTGCCTATAATGTACAGCCAAGAAGTACCTCGCTGCTTTAACCGAAGTATTTTATCACCAAGAACCAAGCATTTTTGTTTTGTAATTTTATTCACCTCATTCTATTTCGTAAATCCAATTGAATAATTAATGATTTTGTAAGATTCCAAACAATTATGCAATGCGCGTCAGTGTTAGACGCGTTTCCGCTGTTGGGCTCGTGGAGGGCTTACTCTCTGGCTGACACAAACTGTTGGTTGAAAATATCATCAGAAACTCTGCGGTTATGAGTTTTATTTAATTTTATAAAGGAAATTATATTATTGGGCTTGTACTGGGACAAAGTATAGCAAATTGGCTTACTTAACTCTAAAATCATCGCCCGTCAAAAGTGCTCCATTAAGGTATAGTGGCAAATGCGAGTGTCAGTAAGTTAAAGTTTTTCTCGCCCGTGCCTCTCGATTCTTCGTTACCGGTTAAGCCTGGGCACTATTTCCGTTCTTAGGCCCCGCCGGCCGTAAGAATCAAGTGGCCCTGGAGAGGAAGATGCCCTCGGATTAAAACTCGACAAGAGGGACTTTTTTGTCAACATCGATCGGTATTTGTAGAACCACAGAAATTCCACACAAGCTTATTTGTGGATATTTAATAGCTCAAAATTAGCAAAAAAAAAAATACCATGGATACACATTTTATTATTTTTTTGGCTTAGCAATAATAACAGTGAAGCTTAAATAGTTTGTCAGTATGTAAGGTAAACAGGTCAAATGTTGGCTGTCAATTTATTTTTGTTTGACAGTTCTTTTAATATATTTTGCGCTGACATCTGTGAATTTCGAACAGCTTTGGCCATGGGCCAGCTGTGATGTCAACATCAACGAAGTCAACAGAAATGATTTCTATTTAGTTCTCGTTTTGTTTCTAGGTTTTCTTCTGGTGTTACAAGAATTGTGTGAGAATCAACTTAAATTTCTGCCTATCACAAAATCTAGCGATGAAATACGCCTATTTGAAGTGCGAAATAAACGGAAATTTGGCATATCTTAAGAAAAAAGACCCACAGATTTTTTTTTCCTTTGGAGGGAAAGGGTTATTGTGTTTTTCTTTTCAATTGCAAATTGGCCCTCTAAATTAATAACCACAACTCAAGTGGGAGTAAGGAGCCTTACTTAAATTTCCTATTTTTAAAACTGCTTTGCGTGAAAAAATAAATTAATATGAAATGCTAGAGCGTCAGTTTTGACCAACTGAATATATAAGTAGAATTCTAGTTTGGACTTATCTTGTCAGGAATTTAATGATGAAAAAATAAAAGAAAGACGTGGTTATGTAATGTCACATCTGTTTGGACATCTTTGATTCTGTTTATCCGTTTCTCTTTTTATTTCTTTCTTCGTTTATCGTTTCAATTGCTGCATCTTTTACTTTTACGACCAAGGGTGGTTGGCGTTAAAAGATAACCTTTCAAGATCTCAACCAAATGTTTATTCCATAGGCGTTTATTGTGCCATGTTGTCGGTTATTTGCGGGAAAAAATTGCGGAAGTTTTGCGTAGGAGCTAAAACCATGGCTATTACACCACATGACAAATGGATATTTCTATTAATATTTTTCTTTCCAAATTTTCATACAAGTTCTAGTTCTTTTTTTCTTAAATTCGTGATACTTTTTCTTTCCCCTTCTCTTAGTTTTCTAAATTCATCACTGATATTTGTTCGTGGAGAAAGTGAGAGATGGCATTTATAACCCCTGGGAGGACGTGATAAATGTTTCGTGGGGTAAAAAAATGTAACTCATTTGAAACCACAATGATTCATTTTAAACCGAGGTTAATTTAATATCGGTTTAGCAAAAGAGAAGAATAATCAGATAAACCCGACGAGAAAGTTTGAAAATAAAGATTTCAATAACTTACTGAATGCGAAAATCGTTCTGTGTTTTAAAATGGCCTTCCAGATCACGTTTTACGTAGCTTGCCATATATGGTTGCTATGGTTACCTGGATTAATTGATAAGCTCTTTCTCTGATAAAACTCTTTTCGTTGTTTTCTCTCTATTGTTGTATTATGTTCTATTTCTTGTGGCTAAATCATATTTTTAACTATCAATAGTTGTTTCATTTCAATCGTCAGTTTTAGCCCAATTCAGTATCCAACAGAAATTCCCCTTATAATTTCTTTTCAATTTGAAATTTATACAATCTTTGTTTTGTGGGCAGCTATTGTTTTCGATTTCCTGTGGCAAATAGTCACAAAATTTGCAATGCTAATTTTGTCTTATTCATTACAGCGGTGAAAAGGACATGAAATATTGTTCGCGTCGTCTCGACCTTCGCGCGAGCATACGGTTTTTCTCTCCGACGATGCCTTGAAAAAAACCCGGCGATAAGATTTTTCGAAATTGGAATTAACCCCGGCTACCGAATTTCTATCAGCTTGAAACCATGTGCGATCGAATCAAGGAACTCTTTTGTAAACTCAGCCCGGAGGTGGGAAAGAAGCCCTCGGACTCGACAAACTGGTTGAATATACTATGTTTCTGCGTCTTCGGGACACTGTCCTTCTTCAACCAAGAAATGCTTTACACCGCATCGGAGGACATCCTCAGTGGCCGACAACTCCCAACAGCGACAATACTCGTGTGCTTTGTGACCCCGTTGATGATCACAAAAATTATCGCACCCTGGTTTATACAAAAGATTCCTTACTTCGTGAAGGTTTCTCTCATCGTTCTGTGCATGACTCTGGGACTTGTTCTCATCGTTTTTGTTGATGATATTAAAGTAAAGCTGGTAGGAATCGCGTTAAACGCGATGGCGACCGGGGCTTGTGAAGTTACATTTCTTGGCCTCACTTCGTTTTACCCACAGATTTGCATAAGCGCTTTCATCGCAGGCACTGGAATGGCTTCGCTGTTCTCTCCGCTCTACTATACAGGTAAGCGAAATATTCTTTGCTTGGAACGTCGTCGCTTTTTTGTGAAATATGTCCGCTGTTATTTTATTTCAGAACTGAAATGATCCCCTTTATTTCAATTTGTACCCGCCTTAATACCAGCCAGCGAGTGCCATTTTGTTTGAGAGGGTAAATTTTTTGTTTTGAAGAGTCATGCAGTTGACAACTGTGGTTTCTGTTGTTTTAGTTCACATATCTGGAACTCCAAATAAATATTCTTCACTCACAATTGTAACATTCGGTTAACAGAAGGAAACGCCTGTATTCTTGCCTAACTCATTCGGATAAAGAGGTGCAAATTGATCGTAGTTTGTTGTTACTAAAAGTTGTCACCTGACAAATCGTCTCGTCTTTTCATGTTTTTCAAACAGAAATTTAAATTCACCGCTTGAGTGGTGTTGAACAAGAGAAACGCTTCGTTAAAGTTCAGTGTAGTGGAAAGCTTTTAGTTGTGTTTTGTGATTTGTACTGACGTCTTTTGTTTTAATATCCGGATCCGTTTTCGCAGGAAGGAACCAAGCCTTGTAGTTTTAACCTGGCAAGGGAGAACATAACATTGCAACTTTTTCAAATATTCCTTCTGCGTGTATTTTTTTTTTTCTTTTTTTTTTTTTTTTTTTNTTGTTATCCTAAGACTTTGAAAAAAGCGCTTCTTTCTCCCTCCATCTGTTATAGCATGTCTTAAAATGGCAAAGCGGCTGATTTTCTTTAAACGATGTTTTTATTTCATATAAGGTGCAATGTATGTAATGATGTCTGCGACTCCAGTCTACAACCAAGCTCTCGACAGTCCAGTGAAGGTTAGAGAATGTTATACCTCCAAACAACTTGCAATACTCCTAATATCTCAATCCTCTGTCGTTTTTGTCCATTTTGTTTGGTTTCAACTTACAATGCCATGGAAACTCGCCTTTCTTGAGTTTATCCGATCAACCAGTCGGACTTCAATGCGGTGCTGTTTACAGCAGCTGAAATACATGTATTCAAATTTGTCTTCCGTCATTTCGTCTCAATCTTTACTAATCTCAGCAATCCTTGTTACTTTTCGGTTTGTTGTTACTAGTTTAGTGTTTTTTTGTTTCTTTTTTTACCTTAGTGAATTATTATTTTTAGGTTTTTTTATCTGAAATTAGTTTTGTACCGCTCAAAAAATCCTCGTCGTAAATATCATTTCAGGTTGGCATTCCATCAAAGGGCGCTTCATCAGTGTGATCGGAGCGAACATCTCCTGCGCATGCGCCAAGAGTCCTGAAGGTCTGTCGCCCAGTGCTCACCTGGCGGACGGTTGTTTGGACCTGATTCTTGTTAAACACACGTCACGGTTGCAGTACCTCAGACACATGATCAGACTTTCGTCTAAAGCTGATCAGGTCAGAAGCCATAATAACCTTACTGTTACATACGTTTCATAACATCATCATAGGAGAATATCGGTTACAGTCAGACTTATTATTTCTTGGAGGCCATCCGAAAGAGACGTCGAATACTCGAATCAAAAACTTTGGCAAAGGTAAAATCTGTATCGGGCCAAGTTGTCCCATACCGCCGAAGCTTTGCCTGTATCCAGGTACTTACTTGCTCTTATCACTTTCCTTCTCCTCATTTGCACAGTTTAACTTTGACTTCGTGGAAGTTCATCGCGTTCGCGAATTCTATTTCCGACCCCTTGCTGAAGAGAGCGAGCTTGAGAACGAGACTGACGGTATCGAGGAGACTGGTGCGAGAGAAGATGACGAAGAGCGGCTGGCTGCCAAAACGTCATCATCTACGTCACGACCTCGTGCCAGGAGCATATGGAACGTTGATGGGGAGTTGGTAACACATCCCGCCATTCACATCAAGTACGAATTGTTGCTTGTTTAGTTAAATTACGTAGGGCTTACAATATACTGTGCACCTGTGCCACTTATAATACAAAAGTGCTCAAAGTTCTGAAAAATGTTAGGGGTCTTTTTTTCGTTTACCAAGGGACCCCACTTGTACAGCATAATAAACAGTACCTCATGAAAGTACTGCTCAATTTCTTTCATTTTATTGGTCACACACTAGGGTTTGATCCACAGACTTAAAAGTTAGAACCACCTTGAACAGAATAATAAACAGTACCACATGAAAGTACTGCTCAATAGCTTTCATTTGATTGGTCACACACTAGGGTTTCATTCACAGACTAGGTTTAACAACCTTGTCCAGTATAATAAACAATACCACGTGAAAGCGCTGCTTAATGGCTTTCACATGGATGTTCGCGCTTGCAATTAGTTGCAAACTATAGTGTTTCCCCTTTAGACTCAAGTACAAGCGCTTTTAAGACGACTTTTTTTCCTTTTTATACCATTTATTTGTTGATATGGAATTTGTTTACCTGTTTAGTCATTGTTCTAGTTTTTATAATCCTTTGTTTTTCAGGGTCCACCGCCAACTGATTCGTCTCTTCGCCCGAGGAATTGAGGAATGCGAAGACACTCCCTCTTGTACAGTTTGCAAAAGACGATAGATTTAGTTTGCATTTCAGAATTATTTTTAGCAATTCTATGCGTATTAGTCTATTAGCGGTTTTGTGACCGAGGTTAGGCCTGGACAGATCTTTTTCAATTCGACTTAGGTTCTCTTGATGTAAAGCCTTAATTTGCTATTTACAAATCAATATCAATTTTCATAAGAGTTTTTCAACCAAATTAAGCTCAAGAAAGATCTCTATAAATACATGCTACAAAAAAGTAAATATTACAATTCCCACTCGAAAATAACATAGCTAGTCGAGTCGGGAGAGACAACAGTTTATAATTACATGTAATGGACACGCTGAACGGGAAAATCTTTTGTGGTTGTTTAATCAACGTGTCAGAACTCACGTTTCCGAGCGTCACAGACGGGAACCTTTTTGATACGTCTTTCCTTCGCACTACGTATATGGGTATGGAAGTTCTGACCTTTACGACTCAGTGACTGGGCGATCCTGACGTTACGGACGTGGTTAAGTGGAATATAAGATTAGGTTATTATAAGATTGAGATAATTCACATTGCCTCACGAATATTCGTTCTTGTTTGCCTATAATGTACAGCCAAGAAGTACCTCGCTGCTTTAACCGAAGTATTTTATCACCAAGAACCAAGCATTTTTGTTTTGTAATTTTATTCACCTCATTCTATTTCGTAAATCCAATTGAATAATTAATGATTTTGTAAGATTCCAAACAATTATGCAATGCGCGTCAGTGTTAGACGCGTTTCCGCTGTTGGGCTCGTGGAGGGCTTACTCTCTGGCTGACACAAACTGTTGGTTGAAAATATCATCAGAAACTCTGCGGTTATGAGTTTTATTTAATTTTATAAAGGAAATTATATTATTGGGCTTGTACTGGGACAAAGTATAGCAAATTGGCTTACTTAACTCTAAAATCATCGCCCGTCAAAAGTGCTCCATTAAGGTATAGTGGCAAATGCGAGTGTCAGTAAGTTAAAGTTTTTCTCGCCCGTGCCTCTCGATTCTTCGTTACCGGTTAAGCCTGGGCACTATTTCCGTTCTTAGGCCCCGCCGGCCGTAAGAATCAAGTGGCCCTGGAGAGGAAGATGCCCTCGGATTAAAACTCGACAAGAGGGACTTTTTTGTCAACATCGATCGGTATTTGTAGAACCACAGAAATTCCACACAAGCTTATTTGTGGATATTTAATAGCTCAAAATTAGCAAAAAAAAAAATACCATGGATACACATTTTATTATTTTTTTGGCTTAGCAATAATAACAGTGAAGCTTAAATAGTTTGTCAGTATGTAAGGTAAACAGGTCAAATGTTGGCTGTCAATTTATTTTTGTTTGACAGTTCTTTTAATATATTTTGCGCTGACATCTGTGAATTTCGAACAGCTTTGGCCATGGGCCAGCTGTGATGTCAACATCAACGAAGTCAACAGAAATGATTTCTATTTAGTTCTCGTTTTGTTTCTAGGTTTTCTTCTGGTGTTACAAGAATTGTGTGAGAATCAACTTAAATTTCTGCCTATCACAAAATCTAGCGATGAAATACGCCTATTTGAAGTGCGAAATAAACGGAAATTTGGCATATCTTAAGAAAAAAGACCCACAGATTTTTTTTTCCTTTGGAGGGAAAGGGTTATTGTGTTTTTCTTTTCAATTGCAAATTGGCCCTCTAAATTAATAACCACAACTCAAGTGGGAGTAAGGAGCCTTACTTAAATTTCCTATTTTTAAAACTGCTTTGCGTGAAAAAATAAATTAATATGAAATGCTAGAGCGTCAGTTTTGACCAACTGAATATATAAGTAGAATTCTAGTTTGGACTTATCTTGTCAGGAATTTAATGATGAAAAAATAAAAGAAAGACGTGGTTATGTAATGTCACATCTGTTTGGACATCTTTGATTCTGTTTATCCGTTTCTCTTTTTATTTCTTTCTTCGTTTATCGTTTCAATTGCTGCATCTTTTACTTTTACGACCAAGGGTGGTTGGCGTTAAAAGATAACCTTTCAAGATCTCAACCAAATGTTTATTCCATAGGCGTTTATTGTGCCATGTTGTCGGTTATTTGCGGGAAAAAATTGCGGAAGTTTTGCGTAGGAGCTAAAACCATGGCTATTACACCACATGACAAATGGATATTTCTATTAATATTTTTCTTTCCAAATTTTCATACAAGTTCTAGTTCTTTTTTTCTTAAATTCGTGATACTTTTTCTTTCCCCTTCTCTTAGTTTTCTAAATTCATCACTGATATTTGTTCGTGGAGAAAGTGAGAGATGGCATTTATAACCCCTGGGAGGACGTGATAAATGTTTCGTGGGGTAAAAAAATGTAACTCATTTGAAACCACAATGATTCATTTTAAACCGAGGTTAATTTAATATCGGTTTAGCAAAAGAGAAGAATAATCAGATAAACCCGACGAGAAAGTTTGAAAATAAAGATTTCAATAACTTACTGAATGCGAAAATCGTTCTGTGTTTTAAAATGGCCTTCCAGATCACGTTTTACGTAGCTTGCCATATATGGTTGCTATGGTTACCTGGATTAATTGATAAGCTCTTTCTCTGATAAAACTCTTTTCGTTGTTTTCTCTCTATTGTTGTATTATGTTCTATTTCTTGTGGCTAAATCATATTTTTAACTATCAATAGTTGTTTCATTTCAATCGTCAGTTTTAGCCCAATTCAGTATCCAACAGAAATTCCCCTTATAATTTCTTTTCAATTTGAAATTTATACAATCTTTGTTTTGTGGGCAGCTATTGTTTTCGATTTCCTGTGGCAAATAGTCACAAAATTTGCAATGCTAATTTTGTCTTATTCATTACAGCGGTGAAAAGGACATGAAATATTGTTCGCGTCGTCTCGACCTTCGCGCGAGCATACGGTTTTTCTCTCCGACGATGCCTTGAAAAAAACCCGGCGATAAGATTTTTCGAAATTGGAATTAACCCCGGCTACCGAATTTCTATCAGCTTGAAACCATGTGCGATCGAATCAAGGAACTCTTTTGTAAACTCAGCCCGGAGGTGGGAAAGAAGCCCTCGGACTCGACAAACTGGTTGAATATACTATGTTTCTGCGTCTTCGGGACACTGTCCTTCTTCAACCAAGAAATGCTTTACACCGCATCGGAGGACATCCTCAGTGGCCGACAACTCCCAACAGCGACAATACTCGTGTGCTTTGTGACCCCGTTGATGATCACAAAAATTATCGCACCCTGGTTTATACAAAAGATTCCTTACTTCGTGAAGGTTTCTCTCATCGTTCTGTGCATGACTCTGGGACTTGTTCTCATCGTTTTTGTTGATGATATTAAAGTAAAGCTGGTAGGAATCGCGTTAAACGCGATGGCGACCGGGGCTTGTGAAGTTACATTTCTTGGCCTCACTTCGTTTTACCCACAGATTTGCATAAGCGCTTTCATCGCAGGCACTGGAATGGCTTCGCTGTTCTCTCCGCTCTACTATACAGGTAAGCGAAATATTCTTTGCTTGGAACGTCGTCGCTTTTTTGTGAAATATGTCCGCTGTTATTTTATTTCAGAACTGAAATGATCCCCTTTATTTCAATTTGTACCCGCCTTAATACCAGCCAGCGAGTGCCATTTTGTTTGAGAGGGTAAATTTTTTGTTTTGAAGAGTCATGCAGTTGACAACTGTGGTTTCTGTTGTTTTAGTTCACATATCTGGAACTCCAAATAAATATTCTTCACTCACAATTGTAACATTCGGTTAACAGAAGGAAACGCCTGTATTCTTGCCTAACTCATTCGGATAAAGAGGTGCAAATTGATCGTAGTTTGTTGTTACTAAAAGTTGTCACCTGACAAATCGTCTCGTCTTTTCATGTTTTTCAAACAGAAATTTAAATTCACCGCTTGAGTGGTGTTGAACAAGAGAAACGCTTCGTTAAAGTTCAGTGTAGTGGAAAGCTTTTAGTTGTGTTTTGTGATTTGTACTGACGTCTTTTGTTTTAATATCCGGATCCGTTTTCGCAGGAAGGAACCAAGCCTTGTAGTTTTAACCTGGCAAGGGAGAACATAACATTGCAACTTTTTCAAATATTCCTTCTGCGTGTATTTTTTTTTTTCTTTTTTTTTTTTTTTGACTCTTTTGTTATACATACAAGTCGGTTCTTAACAATATTGCTTTAAGAGTGGCTATCATTGAAGTTAACATTAAAATTTTATAATTATTATGTTTTGTTGATTTCATAGATGGGGATCCCCATACTAACCATTTCTACATTGGANTTTTTTTTTTTTTGTTTTTTTTTTTTTTTTTTTTTTTTTTTTTTTTTTTTTTTTTTTTTTTTTTTTTTTTGGACGTATGATGATCATAAAAACCACTTGACAGCTAGAAATTATTTAAGAATAATTTCGTAAATTTACGCAATTGACGGGCGACAGTGTCGGTTATTGTTCTCAAATACACCGCGTTTTGAATTGATTTTGTAAATGGTTCATTAACTTCTCCCTTTACCTAAATCGATGGCTTCTGACGTCCTTCTGGATAATTTCGTAACTGAAATATATTTTTTTCTAAATTCGGAATTCTTTTTAGCTTTCCTGGTAACCACGGTACTTAAAAGCTCAAAAGTGATCAAACTGACAGAAGATGACTTTACAATATCAGTAGATTTAACTGAAGCAGATAAGTGCCGAAATTTGATGGCATTAGTCATTTTTTTCAAAATTTAACTTATTTACCGATGAATGTTTTGAACAACAACCAGTAGCCCAAATGTGATTTTACGTGTTGTTATTTTGATATTTGTTAAGAATTTTTCCTTGAGGGCAATTGTCAGCTGACTGAAATGTTTTGTATGTGATTTTTCCTGTGTGAATGCTCGACTAACTGCCTCAACCCCTTAACTTTGTTTGCATAGATCTAAATATTACAAACACAAATATTTTCAAAGTATTATGAAATCGCTTGTTATATGAAGGAAACATGATAGCTGAAAATTGGTCAGAATTTTTAACCGCTGAATAATGACGCGGAGGTTTTACTAATAGCTAAGACCCGTGATCTGTAAAATTAACCGATAATTGAGAAATGGGCTGAAATTTTAAATCATAGGTAAGAAAAGTGTACTGAACTGATAACTCAATGGAATTCCACGCCCTCGTCCGAACCCGCCCGATCAAAACATATCGCAACATTGTTGGGCGACCCTGGGCGCAACATGTTGCGAACATTTGGCCATCCTGTTGCGAATAGTCGGGTGTTGTTGGCTCAAATTTGACCATTTTCAAACTAGGGCCGACAACACCCAACATGTCGCAAAACTTTACAACAAGGTGGCCAAACGCGCGGAACATGTTGCGCCCAACAATGTTGCGATATGTTGCGTTGGAATGTCACGATCGGTTGACCGGGGCTTTGTAGACACGCGTGTTTCTTTCTCAATTCTAATGTCATTATTCATTTCTTTACTTGTACTTCCATTCTTCAGGATCTACTTGAAAAGTGAAGGAACGCTCTTCTAATCTTAATAAGTGATAAACCCAAAATTTGCCAACGTATATGACATTCATTGTATATACGAAAGGAATGGAGGTTGGCCGTAAACTGACCGTCTAAATTTGACTTCGTCTGTTTTTCCTTAGCGACACAAGCCGTAAGGAGCACAATTAACAGAGTGAAACGCTGAGAAACCCGAGCGCAATTATTAAAGCATGAGTTCAACTGAAACTCATGCTTTTGTTACTAGTCCTTTCACTGCCAAACTCAAACTCTCAATTCTCCCAACAGTTTACCATATATGTCTTTGAATTTTAGTTCTGAGAGTTTGGTTGTACATCAAGACAGTATTACCATAGTGTTCGTTTTTCTTATCAACTTAATGATGCTTGTCAATGTACTCAAGTCTAATGAGAATTTCGTTTGTGATCAACATCTTCAGGTCTCACCACATGGGGTTGCACCTCTCCGAAGACGGCCATCATGATAACGATTCCTTTACCTTTGCTTATCTTGGTGTTCTACGCAGTGCTGGACAAGGATTACATCACGAACGGCTCGTACAGCAGACCCAAGGAACACATTGAGGTGGAGTACACGATAGTAGCATCTGACACCGCTGACACCACAGACAGTGCGCATGTCACCAAAGGCAAAGTCGCCACTAATTCACAAAAACTCCCATGCGGCGAAAAGCTAAGAATTGGATTGAGGATTCTGCCGTTCATCATTCCATTATTCCTGAGCTTCTTTGCAGAGTACCTGTCCAATTCTTCTGTGATTACCACGATCGCCTTCCCTAAATCTCAAGTGCTTCCCCGAGATCACTTCCTATACTACTCGCTCTCTTACAGAATCGGCAAGTTCATCGGCAGAAGCTATCTGTTTATATTCGCTTGCCTCCCGCCTGACGCCATCGACTTCCTGAAATGTGACAGAACGTGGATCTTCGCAGCCTTGGAGATAGCTCATCTGATCTTCTTCCTCTTCGAATCCTGGTACCATTTCGTCTGGTACATCTGGATAATTATTTCTCTGTGTTCCACCCTCGGGTTAGTAGCTGGAATGATCGTCCTGCACTCGCCCCACGCTGTCGCACGGCATATTGCACCCGAGGAGAGAGAGTTTGCCCTGGGACTCTTGACATCTGGTAATGCCGTGGGAGCGTTTGTGGCCGGGTTGCTTGGCCTGGTTGTGGAACCTTACCTGACGGAGAAATGCCTCCAACATTTCTCCGCCACCAGAGAATTCTGCTTCACAAGACATCGGAACACCACAGGATGGGAAACTAATATTCATTGTTAAATTATCTCAGAAAATCAAACGAGGATGAAGAGTATAAAAGCGAGTGAATCCCCGTGTAGACCTGTTTTGACATAGTACCCAGTCCTCCTGTGGATAATGTTACACGTGCGTCGCGTGGATGTTTTCGTGGATAACAAAAATACGTTCAAACTGCTTCAGCTGTCAACGTGAGTAAAATTCTTGTCACAGGATCGGCGACTTTTAGACCTTCTTGGGATTTCTGAAGCCAAGAATGATCTAAAAATAACTTAAGAGGGATTAATTAGAGAATAAGGACTATATGAGGGATTAACCGGATGTTACCCTTCATCTTCTCTTGGTGAAAGACACTATTTATTTTTCAGTTGCGTATTTATGAACTAGTAAGAATTCTGAGGCCCAGTCCAAACTATGCCGGAGAAATTCGAAAACGGTATTTTCACTCTGAAAACACAAATGTTCTCCGCCGGAGGAATTTGAAAATGCAGCAATCACCGGTCATTTTGGATTTGTGTTTGAGGAAAACTCGGTCAGTGAAATCACATTATTATCGTGACGCCATCGTATTCGAAAAGCTCCGTTTTCAAAATGTGTTCCTTCTACACTAAAACCCAAAGCCGGCGTTCTCCAATTCTCCAGTTTGAAGAGCGTTTACGAAAAGTTCCATTTTCGGGACGGATTAGTGTGGACGGTAGGCCTAACCGTGAAAATAAAGCTACGTTTTCAAATTTATCCGGCGTAGTGTGGACCAGCCCTGAGAAAGTTAAGAGTGCACGTGCAGGCCTCGCCTAATGAATCACGCCCGGCTCGTTGCATTTCATGTCGTTAAACCTGGCGGGTTTACACTGAATTTAATGATGTTAAAAGAAAATTTATTTGTAAAATATTTAACTTTATAATTTCCTAAAGAGGTAAATCAGCCACTAACCTTTTTAGTTAAGATGAAAATTATACATTTGGTAATTAGAGAGCGAGCTTGAAAATTTCCTTCATCTTTAAACTTTCCATGGCTGGCTAGTGCTAAATTTTACAACGAGTCACTATCAAACGGCGATAAATTATTTTTTATCAGTTTGTTAATAGATCAGCTTCTGGAGAATGCTTTTTCTGTTTTTATCGACTTTGATGCGCGAACGCCCGATAGAAACCTTGGGCTATTACATGAATAGAAATTTTGTCAAGATTTCAGTGATTGCCACTCGGCAATTTCATAAGAAGGTTATTTTTGGAAATTATAATCTGTGAGGAAAATTTAAAAATATTAGTTTTAAAGTAATTTTACAGGTACGGTCGTTTAAAAGTAGAATACAAATAAATTACGGTGTGCTCTTAGTCGGTGAAGGGTGATAAGTATATTTTATTTCAAACTAGCTATACTATTTTTTTGAGAGGGTACAAATCAAAATATTTATGATTACGAATTACAAATCGCAAATAACGTTTAACGAATGTCAAATCACAAATCGCGAATCACGAGCCAGAGTAGGAGAAGGACTCTTCTGGATAAAATGGCACATGATAGAAATGGTGAGTGCTAATTCATGTACATATAGAAAATGAAGACTGCCTTAATTGTCGGTGGTTCTTCAATTTCATGGTTTTTGGAGTTTACAATAGGAGGAGAGAATAGAGAAACAGAGATACAAACAAGGTAACTCGGAAGTGGTCTATTGAATTCAATATTTTTTTGTTGAAGTTTCTCTCACAAGAATAAAACACAAGAATGCAGTGCATGTACATGTCTTTGTTTGCTGTCCGCCAGTTTGGGACACCACTGAACTACATCCGCTCATGTTACAGGAGAAAAACAACCCTGATCAATTGCGTTAGCACACGTGATTCCACTCCAGTCCCCATGGTGGGACAACTGTTACACCTATACCCTGCAGGGTTTCATTTTAGCCGATGTCTTTGGGCGAATTCTGTGGAGGCGCGGTCGCGTCATGGTTAGTGCGCTCGACTTCGGGTTCGAGGCCTGGCTGGAGACATCATGTTGTGTTCTTGGGAAAGATGCTTTACTCTCAAAGTGCCTATCTCCACCCAGGTGTATAAATGAGTACCGGCGAATTTAATGCTGGCTGTGATATGCTCCCGATGCTGGGGGTAACCCTGCGATGGACTAAGATCCCATCGGGGGGAGGGGGGGGGAGGCAGTCGAAATACTGCTAGTCGCTTCATGCTACAGAAACCGCATAAGCACACGCCTGATGGGCCACTTGGCTCGTATGCAGACTTTACCTTTTTACCTTACCATTGAGCAAATTCTAGGTCTATTGTTGAGACGTACCAAGTTCTCGTAATTTAACTCCTGACGTCTCCAGGGATAACCTGGAGCCTGACAATTTCACATTATAACGGATAAGTGTCCACTCAAAACAGGTTCTAATATGTTGTGCACTAAAAGTTAATTATTAACTTTTTTGTATGCAATGAAGACTGTATTAAGCGGACACCCTCGGGACCCTCACTAGTGTCCGCTTAATACAGGGTGTCCGCTCAAAACAGGTTCTAATATGTTGTGCAGTAAAAGTTAATTATTAACTTTTTAACACAGTGTAACCTGAGAGTGTAAGACCAAAGATTAGCATAGTACAATGTCCAGTCAATCAATGCGTCAATCTGGAATAATCACTTATAGCTTTAGAACGACATCACGGAACAATGTTAAAGGAGTCTCAGCTGAACCTTTAGAAGTAAAACGCTCTTGTAGTGTCCGCTTATTGCAGGTTTTGTGTAACAAAATGGCTTAATATTGGTGTCCGCGTCCGGTTAACAGAGGTGTCCGCTGAATGCAGGTTTATTTTACAGTGTCAATGTAGGAAGAAAATTTTGCGACTCCAGCTGGTGTTCACTTAGGTGTCCGCTTAATATGAGGTCCGCTTAATACAGGTTTCACCCTGAGTCCTGTGGCTATAATTACAAAATCACAAAACTGAAACATTCTGAAATGAGTTTTATGTTGGGAATGTCAATCATGGATGACGTCATCAAAAATATCCAGACCTCACTGGTCGAGAAATGGTTACGTAACGGATGTAACGGTCAGGTTGTTATTAAAAAAATATCGCGCGCGTGCTGCAGGCTGTATAAATATTTATTACAACTGAACTGACATTTTATTACCATACGACGCCTGTGCTAGAATCACTAAGCATCACCGAAAGCATTATGTACCACTGGGAGGGCGACGAATTTGCTCTCACTTTAGACGCCCGGCTGGCAAATTAAACTAACAGGTAAGTAGAAATATCCTTCAAGGACCTGTGTGAAGCGTATTGTCTGGTTTAAACAGTTCCCTTACGGAGTTCAGTTATGTAACGCTCAACGCCGAGGACAATATCGATTGAACAACTAATTCAGGATGTACAATTGCACCGCGTTTATTCGACTTAGGATACTTTCCGGCGAACTCCGCGTTGCTTTGAGCACCATTTGCCCTAGATTTACGTTTGTCTTAATTTTTAGTCCCTTACTATCACTTATTTCTACCCGGTTGTATCAATTTCTTGACAACTTTAAACTCCCCGCTTTAAGTCAGCCACGATGTAGTCGGAAGTGTACAAAAATCGTCGACTATACCCGGTGTTTCAGACCTGACGCAAGCTCCGCCGTTGATTTCAAGCTGAGTTTTGTTGATTCCCCTTGGACGAAAATCAACCCGTTTTATTTCAAACTCGAATGGTCAAGTTGTAATATAAATATCGCGCTATGTCAGAATCGCCTCGGGGAAGAATTAAATTCGACATAATGATTGCGCTTTTATTTCAACTCCATTCAACAGTTAACTGTCCTTATGTCTTCTACTCGTGACTAAAAAGCTCCTCTTTTTCTTTAGCCTGTCGGCTGTGACAAGAATTGAAACGAACAGTGAGAGTGAAGGAATAGAAGAGCGGGCGAGCGCAAGAAATATTATTATTTTTTCTTTTCAACGCTGATTTACATAACTTTATATTTTTTTTTTAAGAAAAAAAAATTATTCTACTTAAGAATTCACGCACAACCGAAGTAATCATTGCAAGAACTTTTTTCAGCCAGCCTTTAGAGTTAACGTCCACTTCCATAGAAATATTGAAAATCGCACACTGATTTGGTCTTCTCATGACCACATAGCTGTTTTGCAGAAGACGACTGAAAACATACCTGCATGACCAAGGTTTGTAACGCACTGAAGTGTATAGCCCCAGTATTGTTCAGTTCATGAAATCTTTTGTTTGGTGACGCTTTTTAGTTTACGTGGTAATCTTGGTTCGCGTGAGCACCCTAATAAAAGAATGCCGACAAATAAATTCTCTCTGACAGCGTTTACTAAATGAAATGCAATTCTGATTTTTCTAGCTTCAATTCATCAAGATTCATCAAAACAGAAGAAGAAAGAAGAAAAGTAGTTGGCGTTGGTTCTCTTGGTGCGACTGTGCTTTACTTTTCCGCCGTGATGTTGAGTTAATGAGCAAACGTGCCATATAAGATTTATAACCGTTGGAACAGTTGGACAGCCTTTGTATCCGCTAAAATATGTACGATCGAATCAAGGAACTGTTTCTTAAACGAAGCTCAGAAGATGGTAAAACGCCGCCAAGCTCCGATTCAAAGACGAATTGGTTGAATACAATTTGTTTCTGCGTCTTTGGGACCTTCACTTTCTTCAACCAAGAATTGATTTTCATAGCATCAGAGGACATTCTCAGCGGCCGTCAACTCCCAACAGCTACTGTGCTCGTTTGTTATGTAACACCCCTGATGATCACAAAAATAGTCTCTCCTTGGTTTGTTCAAAAAATCAGTTACGTCGCCAAGGCTTCCTTCATTACCTTATGTATGATTACGGGACTTAGTCTCATCGTTTTTGTTGAAGATATTAGAGTAAAGCTAACAGGAATCGCGATAAACGCCATCGCGGCCGGAGCTTCTGAAGTCGTATTTCTTAGCCTCACATCGTTTTACCCACAGATTTGCATAAGCGCCTTCGTGGCAGGAACTGGGATGTCCTCGCTAATCTCTCCGCTCTATTACACGGGTAAGCCAAATATTCTCGATTAAGAAGTTTAGGTCCTATAGCTTTTCTGCTTCTAAAATATGTCTACATATATTTGTATTATATCTATCCCATTTCAATGTTTGTGAATTTTGTATATACACAGAATTGCAATATAATTAATTGCAAGCTGAATATATTTGCCAAAGAAAGAGGAAAAATTAAAACAGGCAAACCAAATAGGAAACAATATAATTTTGAAATTTGAATGATTCTTAAAGAACTGAAGTCATTCACATCTTAAGAACGTCTGATTTTCAGAACGTTCTTAGCTTCTTTCCAATGAGGCTGAAGCGTAACTTCTTAACATGTTCTTAAAATGCCACTATGATAAAATGTTTATCCCTTCAAGTTTTAGTTGAATTACGTAGAATTTCACGAAAAGTTAAAAATCATTATGGCATTTTCCGTTTGCAAATATCTGTATCAGTTCTGGACATATTCCTAAAAGTGTGAAGATTGTGTAAAATATGCACATTAGCTAGAATTTATTAGAGGATTGATGACGCTATACACTCAACCGAAAAAGTACGATCATTCCACGAGCTCGCGTTGGATGCAAGTTGGCTATAATCATTTCATACAGTATCCAACAAGCCCAAGTAGAATAATTGTTTTATTAAAAATGCCCCCAAAATGTAGGAAACTAACTTCGTAAGAGGAATCGGTCATCACGAAAGTACTGAAAAGACTGTACGAAAAGTTTACAAGTATATGTAGTACAAGCAAACTTCATACTCTTGAGGTTTCCGAATGAAATAAAGGTTAGGCACAAAAACGATGCTTCCGAAATTTGTTCAGAATTTATTCCCTTTTGTCGAAGGCTAAGAAGTTCGTGTTTCTCTCTATTTTGCTAGATGAAAACTATTGCTTGAAAGCTATGCTTAGGGAAACCAAATTCATTTATCGTGTTATGCATGAATTGTGTTTAACTCGAAAAAAATCTATTCCCTGCTTTTTCAACAACTCAAATTGATCAGTCAAGCCCAGCCGAGTTCGCTCTCCGCAGCCTGCGGAAAGCGCCGAAAAAAGGTTTTAAAACTTCTTTATTTTAAATTTAAGCGTAAACGGAATCAGCATAAAAAATATTTGAAGTGGAAAAGAAGAGAAAGCTTAATGCCGACCAACTTCTAGTCTTGATTTTCCTATGAAATGTCCATGTATATGTTGAATGAAAAGTTATCCGAGTTACTGATATCTCAGCCAGTGAATGACGAAACTGCTTACACTGACATTTGTTATCGCTAGTGTTCTGAGTTCGCTAGTTCCCGTGTATCGGGAACCGCGGTTTACCGATACAATAGAACATAGGTTTTGCAACCCTATCGACCAATCAGAGCGCTCGTAATGTCTCAGTTATGGTATAAATAATTATCTTCTAATCAGCTGTACAGCAGTGAATCAACCTTGCTTCCATGGCCTTTTCCCTGGTAAAGTAAAAAGCCATGTAAACGAGGTTGTTAGTTAATATTCACAATTTAATGATATTTCAAACCCTGATCAGCCGGTTCATTCCCTCAGGTATCACAACATGGACTTGCGTCTCACCAAAGACCGCCATCATGATAACGATCCCATTGCCCCTGCTAGTGCTGGTGTTCTATGCAATCCTGGACAAGGACTACATCACGGACAGACCTAAGGAACGCATTGAGGTAGAATATACGATTGTGCCGTCCACTTCTGACACAACGGAACAGACCACAGCAGATCCTGAAAAGTCCCTCTGCAGCGAACAGTTGAGAATCGGTAGAAAAATTCTTCCCTACATCATTGCGCTTCTTTTGAGTTTCGGTGCGGAATACTTGTCCAATTCATCCGTGATTACCACGATCGCCTTCCCCAATTCAAACGTCCTTGCTCGAGATCACTTCCTTTACTATTTCTTCTCCTATGAAATGGGAAAGTTCTTCGGTAGAAGCCATCTGTTCATGCTCTCCTGCCTGCCATCTGACATCGTAGAGCTCCTGAAGTGCAAAAGAACATGGGTATTCGCGGCAATAGAGATAGCACATCTGATTTTTTTCGTGTCAGAATCTTGGTATCATTTTGTCTCGTACATCTGGATAATTATCGCCCTCTGCTTTACTCTTGGTCTGGTTGCTGGAATGATAGCCTTGTACTCGCCCCATGCCGTCGTGGGTCATGTTGCACCCGAGGAGAAAGAGTTTGCCCTGGGACTACTGACAGTAGGTAATGGAGTGGGTGCATTCGTGGCCGGGTTGCTTGGCCTGGTTGTTGAGCCTTATCTGACGGGGAAATGCCTCGAACATTTCTCAGCCAGCAAAGAATTTTGTTTCACAAGACCTCAGAACATGACTGGATGGATGACTAACATACATTGTTAAATATTTTTCTGTTACAAATGTATGAGCAGTAAAGAATTATGGAAAGAATTATAGAAAGGTACATTTTAGAGTGTACTTGCTGAAACCTACTTCACGAACGTTCCCTCTGAACATCATCCTTCGTACCCCTCGAACCCCTCTTTCAAGTAACGGGCACTTAGATGCTCAAAACGGAGGTTGGTAGGGGAGGGAGGGGGGATGTAAAGAAAGATGCCCGGACGTAGTCTTTTTGCTCGTCTAAAGACAGGGGAGGCGGGATGAAGGTAGGGCAATTTCTTTGTACGATCAAAAAAATTTATTGCTACACTAAAAAACATTCTTGCCACAACAAAAAGGGATCTACATTGCAATAAAGTAGATTTTTGACAACCTGCTAAAAATGGCGTGAAGTCACAGCATAAACCTCCCCGTTCCCAGGCCCCCTCTCCTTTACTTCCCCTGTCGATGAGAGAGAGAGCCTGGTAACGAGGTTGATGGTACTGAAGTGTTAGAATGCAATCCTGTGACAAGACCTGGACACCATGTGTGTGATACAAATTTTTTGAAGTTTCTTTGTAAGATGACACGAAGTCAAGCGAGCGGCGCACGCTGCGCCTGGCAGGGCTGCTCGGTNCACACGCCTGATGGGCCACTTGGCTCGTATGCAGACTTTACCTTTTTACCTTACCATTGAGCAAATTCTAGGTCTATTGTTGAGACGTACCAAGTTCTCGTAATTTAACTCCTGACGTCTCCAGGGATAACCTGGAGCCTGACAATTTCACATTATAACGGATAAGTGTCCACTCAAAACAGGTTCTAATATGTTGTGCACTAAAAGTTAATTATTAACTTTTTTGTATGCAATGAAGACTGTATTAAGCGGACACCCTCGGGACCCTCACTAGTGTCCGCTTAATACAGGGTGTCCGCTCAAAACAGGTTCTAATATGTTGTGCAGTAAAAGTTAATTATTAACTTTTTAACACAGTGTAACCTGAGAGTGTAAGACCAAAGATTAGCATAGTACAATGTCCAGTCAATCAATGCGTCAATCTGGAATAATCACTTATAGCTTTAGAACGACATCACGGAACAATGTTAAAGGAGTCTCAGCTGAACCTTTAGAAGTAAAACGCTCTTGTAGTGTCCGCTTATTGCAGGTTTTGTGTAACAAAATGGCTTAATATTGGTGTCCGCGTCCGGTTAACAGAGGTGTCCGCTGAATGCAGGTTTATTTTACAGTGTCAATGTAGGAAGAAAATTTTGCGACTCCAGCTGGTGTTCACTTAGGTGTCCGCTTAATATGAGGTCCGCTTAATACAGGTTTCACCCTGAGTCCTGTGGCTATAATTACAAAATCACAAAACTGAAACATTCTGAAATGAGTTTTATGTTGGGAATGTCAATCATGGATGACGTCATCAAAAATATCCAGACCTCACTGGTCGAGAAATGGTTACGTAACGGATGTAACGGTCAGGTTGTTATTAAAAAAATATCGCGCGCGTGCTGCAGGCTGTATAAATATTTATTACAACTGAACTGACATTTTATTACCATACGACGCCTGTGCTAGAATCACTAAGCATCACCGAAAGCATTATGTACCACTGGGAGGGCGACGAATTTGCTCTCACTTTAGACGCCCGGCTGGCAAATTAAACTAACAGGTAAGTAGAAATATCCTTCAAGGACCTGTGTGAAGCGTATTGTCTGGTTTAAACAGTTCCCTTACGGAGTTCAGTTATGTAACGCTCAACGCCGAGGACAATATCGATTGAACAACTAATTCAGGATGTACAATTGCACCGCGTTTATTCGACTTAGGATACTTTCCGGCGAACTCCGCGTTGCTTTGAGCACCATTTGCCCTAGATTTACGTTTGTCTTAATTTTTAGTCCCTTACTATCACTTATTTCTACCCGGTTGTATCAATTTCTTGACAACTTTAAACTCCCCGCTTTAAGTCAGCCACGATGTAGTCGGAAGTGTACAAAAATCGTCGACTATACCCGGTGTTTCAGACCTGACGCAAGCTCCGCCGTTGATTTCAAGCTGAGTTTTGTTGATTCCCCTTGGACGAAAATCAACCCGTTTTATTTCAAACTCGAATGGTCAAGTTGTAATATAAATATCGCGCTATGTCAGAATCGCCTCGGGGAAGAATTAAATTCGACATAATGATTGCGCTTTTATTTCAACTCCATTCAACAGTTAACTGTCCTTATGTCTTCTACTCGTGACTAAAAAGCTCCTCTTTTTCTTTAGCCTGTCGGCTGTGACAAGAATTGAAACGAACAGTGAGAGTGAAGGAATAGAAGAGCGGGCGAGCGCAAGAAATATTATTATTTTTTCTTTTCAACGCTGATTTACATAACTTTATATTTTTTTTTTAAGAAAAAAAAATTATTCTACTTAAGAATTCACGCACAACCGAAGTAATCATTGCAAGAACTTTTTTCAGCCAGCCTTTAGAGTTAACGTCCACTTCCATAGAAATATTGAAAATCGCACACTGATTTGGTCTTCTCATGACCACATAGCTGTTTTGCAGAAGACGACTGAAAACATACCTGCATGACCAAGGTTTGTAACGCACTGAAGTGTATAGCCCCAGTATTGTTCAGTTCATGAAATCTTTTGTTTGGTGACGCTTTTTAGTTTACGTGGTAATCTTGGTTCGCGTGAGCACCCTAATAAAAGAATGCCGACAAATAAATTCTCTCTGACAGCGTTTACTAAATGAAATGCAATTCTGATTTTTCTAGCTTCAATTCATCAAGATTCATCAAAACAGAAGAAGAAAGAAGAAAAGTAGTTGGCGTTGGTTCTCTTGGTGCGACTGTGCTTTACTTTTCCGCCGTGATGTTGAGTTAATGAGCAAACGTGCCATATAAGATTTATAACCGTTGGAACAGTTGGACAGCCTTTGTATCCGCTAAAATATGTACGATCGAATCAAGGAACTGTTTCTTAAACGAAGCTCAGAAGATGGTAAAACGCCGCCAAGCTCCGATTCAAAGACGAATTGGTTGAATACAATTTGTTTCTGCGTCTTTGGGACCTTCACTTTCTTCAACCAAGAATTGATTTTCATAGCATCAGAGGACATTCTCAGCGGCCGTCAACTCCCAACAGCTACTGTGCTCGTTTGTTATGTAACACCCCTGATGATCACAAAAATAGTCTCTCCTTGGTTTGTTCAAAAAATCAGTTACGTCGCCAAGGCTTCCTTCATTACCTTATGTATGATTACGGGACTTAGTCTCATCGTTTTTGTTGAAGATATTAGAGTAAAGCTAACAGGAATCGCGATAAACGCCATCGCGGCCGGAGCTTCTGAAGTCGTATTTCTTAGCCTCACATCGTTTTACCCACAGATTTGCATAAGCGCCTTCGTGGCAGGAACTGGGATGTCCTCGCTAATCTCTCCGCTCTATTACACGGGTAAGCCAAATATTCTCGATTAAGAAGTTTAGGTCCTATAGCTTTTCTGCTTCTAAAATATGTCTACATATATTTGTATTATATCTATCCCATTTCAATGTTTGTGAATTTTGTATATACACAGAATTGCAATATAATTAATTGCAAGCTGAATATATTTGCCAAAGAAAGAGGAAAAATTAAAACAGGCAAACCAAATAGGAAACAATATAATTTTGAAATTTGAATGATTCTTAAAGAACTGAAGTCATTCACATCTTAAGAACGTCTGATTTTCAGAACGTTCTTAGCTTCTTTCCAATGAGGCTGAAGCGTAACTTCTTAACATGTTCTTAAAATGCCACTATGATAAAATGTTTATCCCTTCAAGTTTTAGTTGAATTACGTAGAATTTCACGAAAAGTTAAAAATCATTATGGCATTTTCCGTTTGCAAATATCTGTATCAGTTCTGGACATATTCCTAAAAGTGTGAAGATTGTGTAAAATATGCACATTAGCTAGAATTTATTAGAGGATTGATGACGCTATACACTCAACCGAAAAAGTACGATCATTCCACGAGCTCGCGTTGGATGCAAGTTGGCTATAATCATTTCATACAGTATCCAACAAGCCCAAGTAGAATAATTGTTTTATTAAAAATGCCCCCAAAATGTAGGAAACTAACTTCGTAAGAGGAATCGGTCATCACGAAAGTACTGAAAAGACTGTACGAAAAGTTTACAAGTATATGTAGTACAAGCAAACTTCATACTCTTGAGGTTTCCGAATGAAATAAAGGTTAGGCACAAAAACGATGCTTCCGAAATTTGTTCAGAATTTATTCCCTTTTGTCGAAGGCTAAGAAGTTCGTGTTTCTCTCTATTTTGCTAGATGAAAACTATTGCTTGAAAGCTATGCTTAGGGAAACCAAATTCATTTATCGTGTTATGCATGAATTGTGTTTAACTCGAAAAAAATCTATTCCCTGCTTTTTCAACAACTCAAATTGATCAGTCAAGCCCAGCCGAGTTCGCTCTCCGCAGCCTGCGGAAAGCGCCGAAAAAAGGTTTTAAAACTTCTTTATTTTAAATTTAAGCGTAAACGGAATCAGCATAAAAAATATTTGAAGTGGAAAAGAAGAGAAAGCTTAATGCCGACCAACTTCTAGTCTTGATTTTCCTATGAAATGTCCATGTATATGTTGAATGAAAAGTTATCCGAGTTACTGATATCTCAGCCAGTGAATGACGAAACTGCTTACACTGACATTTGTTATCGCTAGTGTTCTGAGTTCGCTAGTTCCCGTGTATCGGGAACCGCGGTTTACCGATACAATAGAACATAGGTTTTGCAACCCAATAGACCAATCAGAGCGCTCGTAATGTCTCAGTTATGGTATAAATAATTATCTTCTAATCAGCTGTACAGCAGTGAATCAACCTTGCTTCCATGGCCTTTTCCCTGGTAAAGTAAAAAGCCATGTAAACGAGGTTGTTAGTTAATATTCACAATTTAATGATATTTCAAACCCTGATCAGCCGGTTCATTCCCTCAGGTATCACAACATGGACTTGCGTCTCACCAAAGACCGCCATCATGATAACGATCCCATTGCCCCTGCTAGTGCTGGTGTTCTATGCAATCCTGGACAAGGACTACATCACGGACAGACCTAAGGAACGCATTGAGGTAGAATATACGATTGTGCCGTCCACTTCTGACACAACGGAACAGACCACAGCAGATCCTGAAAAGTCCCTCTGCAGCGAACAGTTGAGAATCGGTAGAAAAATTCTTCCCTACATCATTGCGCTTCTTTTGAGTTTCGGTGCGGAATACTTGTCCAATTCATCCGTGATTACCACGATCGCCTTCCCCAATTCAAACGTCCTTGCTCGAGATCACTTCCTTTACTATTTCTTCTCCTATGAAATGGGAAAGTTCTTCGGTAGAAGCCATCTGTTCATGCTCTCCTGCCTGCCATCTGACATCGTAGAGCTCCTGAAGTGCAAAAGAACATGGGTATTCGCGGCAATAGAGATAGCACATCTGATTTTTTTCGTGTCAGAATCTTGGTATCATTTTGTCTCGTACATCTGGATAATTATCGCCCTCTGCTTTACTCTTGGTCTGGTTGCTGGAATGATAGCCTTGTACTCGCCCCATGCCGTCGTGGGTCATGTTGCACCCGAGGAGAAAGAGTTTGCCCTGGGACTACTGACAGTAGGTAATGGAGTGGGTGCATTCGTGGCCGGGTTGCTTGGCCTGGTTGTTGAGCCTTATCTGACGGGGAAATGCCTCGAACATTTCTCAGCCAGCAAAGAATTTTGTTTCACAAGACCTCAGAACATGACTGGATGGATGACTAACATACATTGTTAAATATTTTTCTGTTACAAATGTATGAGCAGTAAAGAATTATGGAAAGAATTATAGAAAGGTACATTTTAGAGTGTACTTGCTGAAACCTACTTCACGAACGTTCCCTCTGAACATCATCCTTCGTACCCCTCGAACCCCTCTTTCAAGTAACGGGCACTTAGATGCTCAAAACGGAGGTTGGTAGGGGAGGGAGGGGGGATGTAAAGAAAGATGCCCGGACGTAGTCTTTTTGCTCGTCTAAAGACAGGGGAGGCGGGATGAAGGTAGGGCAATTTCTTTGTACGATCAAAAAAATTTATTGCTACACTAAAAAACATTCTTGCCACAACAAAAAGGGATCTACATTGCAATAAAGTAGATTTTTGACAACCTGCTAAAAATGGCGTGAAGTCACAGCATAAACCTCCCCGTTCCCAGGCCCCCTCTCCTTTACTTCCCCTGTCGATGAGAGAGAGAGCCTGGTAACGAGGTTGATGGTACTGAAGTGTTAGAATGCAATCCTGTGACAAGACCTGGACACCATGTGTGTGATACAAATTTTTTGAAGTTTCTTTGTAAGATGACACGAAGTCAAGCGAGCGGCGCACGCTGCGCCTGGCAGGGCTGCTCGGTTCACTTCTTGTCACCCCGATTATCCGATCTTAGGCAAACTGGTTCGTAGCCGTACTAAGTTAGTAGATTTCACTTGTGTGGGGGACTGGAGAAGAGAATACAAAACGGTTTTTCTTTCAATACCGTTGAATTCCGAAAGCAACGGGGGCCGTCACTTTCAGATTTAGCAGGCAAAAAGAGCCGTTACTTTCCGGTAGCTGTTACTTTCGGATGGTTAAAACACGTTATACAGTAGCAGCCGTTTCAGACAAATCGGACGGGTAACAAAAGAAATTAAACTTTCCGTCTATGTAAGTTTCCAACTATCCACCAACAAAGCATGCAGACCGTCTAAACAAAAAAAGGCCCTAAACCGGTTGGTACTGTAGGGCGAATCGAATGAATAATGGTCTCATTATATCGCAAAGCCACTGACTACCCTATGCCTCCAGTATATCATTGGACTCTACTGCTAGACAAATGCAGTTTATAAATCATAGTTTCAAGAAAAATTCAGTCAAGTTCGAAATAAAGAGATAAAAGCACAGATAGTTCCTCCAGTCAATGATCAGTCCTGCAGTCAGGCAGAGACTTTCTCCGGCTTTTACTGACTTCTTCAAAGGGCCGCTACTTTCGGGTGGGCCGCTACTTTCGGAGTTCAATAGGAAGGGAAAAAATTAACGTTACTTTCGGGGAGCCGTTATTTTCTGGGGTNGGGGGCGTTACATACGGAATTCTACGGTAGTCCCAGTCAGATCCTTGTATAGTCGGTCTGGCATAACATCGTTGTTCATTAGCTCAGTTTCTGCGTTCTTTCCGCGCTAGGGTCAAAAGAGAGTACTCCGCCAGTCCAGCGACACGGAGGCCCCTAGTTGACCCGGCACTCCTTTAAAACCTCTAGTTTGCTTCGTTCTTGGTTTATCTTCGGAAACTTCCGAAATTTTCCAAAAAATGTTCGGCAATGTTCCTGTGGCCTCAAGTTTTGGAGAGTTTTCGGAAATCTTCGGAAAGTGGTCGGAAATCTTCGGAAAATCGTCAAAAACGTCGTCAACTGTACGTCTATATAATAAAAACAACATAATCGTTACACGTTAGCTCGAAGATGTGAATTTTATGTTCTCACGGCAAGAACATATTTCACTCGTTCGCTGCGCTCACTCGTGAGACATTGTTTTTGCCACGAGAACACAAAATTCATATCTTCTCGCCACTGTGTAATGTCCTCTATATATTGGGACATCCTTGACGTCACGAAGCTATTGTTCTCAAGGAAAATGGCGGCCGTTTTTCAAAAACCCCGGGCAAAGTAGAAATCCGCTGTCCTCTGCTTTTTATGACCGCCCATCCGGGACTTTTAGCTAGAAATAGCGGACATTTTGGACGCTAGTTAGGAGATACGACGAGGTTTTACGTGGTTTAGCGCCGTAGAAACGCAACGATGTACGACGATTTTCTGACACGTTTTCAAGGTAGGTGATTAATGCTTTTTCTCTTGTATTCACGTATTTTTCATGAAGCTCGCAGTATTTTTCCTGAGTCCTTCAGTCGATAAACTTTCATCATGCCAAGTGGCATATTGTAAAACGTTGACTGAAATGGAGTGGACTGGATTTGTAAAAGGTGGATTTGTAAAACGTTGATTTGTAAAACATGGATTTGTAAAAGTTGGAATTGTAAAACATGGATTTGTAAAAGGTGGATTTGTAAAAGGTGGATTTGTAAAACATGGATTTGTAAAAGGTGGATTTGTAAAACATGGATTTGTAAAAGGTGGATTTGTAAAACATGGATTTGTAAAAAAATGATAATTTAAAATTAAAGTGCGCAACAAGAACAGTACAGAATTTTTTTCCGTGCAGATCAAATCGGAAACCGTGCAATAAAAGCTAAAGATTGTTGCACCCAGGGGACAATAAGCAGCAAGAACGTAACAGTATTGAAAGAAAACCGGTCGTTATCCCACAATATAATTAGCCAGAAGTTTGTGCAAGCGGCTTAAACCTTGGTTTTACAAATCCAGTCCAGTCCACTCCAGTCCACTCCAGTCCATGTTTTACAAGATGCCATGCCAAGTGCCTGCATGGTAAATGTAGACAAGCTAGTTTTTGGTTGACTTTTCTAAAAGTCAGACCACTATCGCTGTTCCATTTAATACACTCGAGAGTGACACAATCGACTTGTGTTATTTTTGACCGGTTATCACTTTGTTGCGGACGAAAATGGACCTTTTTAGGTTCATCTTGGCATGAAATTGCACCATGAGAGACTTCAGGCTCTTTGCTGAATTTGTGGAGAGACACTCAAGATCACAAGTGCAATGTGGAAGTAGCAGTGAAGTGGATAAAGTTTGGTAAGTGTTTCTTTTAATTGATTCACCCAATGTTCATCCATGTTTTATTTGTGTCAAGTGCCGACTAATTTGTGGAAAAAAGTACCTTAAAAGCTAGATTAAAATTGCCACCCTTGTCAAAACATGCATGGTATCCGCACAGTGAAAGTTGTACTGTGTAATGTGTGAAACCCACCTGAAATGTCAACCAGGCAGGCTATCAGAAGCCAAGAAAGCAAATAGTTCTCTAAGGAAGAAAAACACCAAAGAGATAACAATATATCAACTGAGAAGAAACAAGCAATCATGACTTTGAATGGGAAAGGCTGCAATTGATAACCCTGGAAAACTTAGGCTAAATGTTTAAGATGTGTCACCCTTGGCAGAGCTCCTTCTTCCAAGGTTTAAACTGAAATCTATATTACTTCTTTGTTGCAGTTGTATCACTGGAGAGCCAACAGCCAGTTGAAAACCACCTACAGCACAGAGGTGACAGCGAAACAGACAGGCCGGGGGTAGTGCAGCGATTCCTATCAGTATCTCGAGGAATGGCACAAAAGGTAGAGGAGATTGTATGTGCTCATTTACCAGACATTGAGGACCATGCAAACATGTAAGGTAAGGTTTGTGGAGGGCACTGCACTCTTTTTTGCATTTTTTAAAAACTATACACACTGCAGCTGTTCCTAGTAGATGATTATTCTTTTCCTCCTCATGAAGATTGAATGTATCAGAAAGTAATATTTTTGCAAAATAATCATTATGAAAACAAAGACTGAAAAGTTAAAAGAGTTTAGAATGTATTGTCAAGTGTTGAACATTGCTAACTGTGAAACTAATGCAAAACATTTATTGGTTGTGAACAGGAAACATATCACTTTGGTTAAGAATATGTAATGAAAAATAGAAAAAAAATCATGGCAACATATAAGAGTCAATAGCCCACTTGAGGGCACTCTCTTATTTAGTGACACTAAAGTGGTAACTACATTCAAATTAAATTCGTATTTTAAAACTAAAAAAACATTTGTAACAATATTGACATCTGTAAGCAATGTAATAATCTTCTAAGTGTTTGTGATTTGTTTCAGGTCCTGCATTCATCCAAGGTTGAGAGTATCTAAAGAGTGAATAAAATAAAATGGATTTCACTTTCAAGACTCATTTTTTTAAAAATATTACTTAAAATAAATATATAATAATACCATGGGACATGTGGATGGATTGTGAGTGTTTCCTTTTCAACTTGTCCACGAATTATATTTTGATGTTTTTGAGTAAATAACTTGCTTAAAGTCAGCAATTATATGTAAGCTTTCACAATTTAAACGTGGAAATCTGATATGATATATTTTAGCACAGCAACAGATAGATGCAAGAAATATTTCAAATTAATACCAAAATGGAGAAATTTCAGATTTACAAAGAATATATTAACAGATTCTTGACTATCCCTGCATCTGACAACACATCTAAAATTTTGGATTCATTTTTCTAGCTCAGTATACATGTATTTTGTATACCAGAACAAGAATTTCTCACTCGTATGCTTTATTGAAAATTCTGTTTAATGGCTTCCTTTCCTCGATTTAGCCAAAACGTATAACCTTTTAGACATTTAAAATTTATATTGATGACTATATAATGCTGGCATAGAAGAACGCGCGCGTTCTGTCGATTTCGGCGAGATAATCCCAACATAAGAGGAAAGTCTGAATTCACATATCGATCGTTTCTGTGCTTAAAAAAATGCAGAGTTAAGATGCTTACCGATCCTATGGTCTCTTTCCAAAGAATGATAACAGAAGCTAGTCAAACTTGGCCCGCAGTTCTCAATTGAAATTGCGTTCTGTAGTGCTTCCTTCGGTCCGAGCATAATCTGGGCAGAATTGTCTGTGACATAGACCGCGAACACAAACTTTCCTTTTATTTCATAATTTCGACAGTATTGAACTCAATTTGGGACAAATATATACCTCCTGACGACCCGCATTCGCTGCCGTATGTAGGCATTCGCGACTCTCTTTGTCCGCCATCTTGAATTTCTTGGTTTGTTATGAAATACAACACTCTAACCAAAACACGCATTCTCATTGGTTGAAACGCGAGTTTCGTGACATCACAGATGTCCTAATATATTGGGATATTCCAGACTGATATAAACAGGAAAATTTCCATACGAGTCCAGTTCACTTCATTACGCCGCAGCGAAACCGAAATATTTTGCACCACTGGAAGGAGGGAACGTTTTTCCTCATTTTGGATGCTCGACTGGAAACACTATAGGGTAGGTAAATTCCTTCAGATTTGTTGAAATGTACTGTCCGGTTTCGACAATTTATTAGCTCAGTCCAGTTACAATTGAAATCTTGGAAAGCACGAGGAAACTTTGTTTTGGTGTGACTTATACCATCTTCATTCACTTTACGGAAATTGCAATAAACAATCCTATAAAAGAAGATAGCTTAACTACAAACTGGAAGATGTCATAAGTCGTGCCGAAACATATCTTTCAAAACCTGCTTCGAGTTTTTCAAATCAATTCTGGTATTACGTAACCCAAACGATCGACGGCGAGAGTTGCGGCGGCCGAGCACTCCTGGCGCCCAAGTCAACCTCGAGTCACGAGTTAACCGCTAGTCAACCACGAGACAAGCCAATTTTTTTGTTCTTCTTTATCTATATTTTGTCCCCCAAAAAATATAGATAGTAGGAAGAAAAATACGTGAATATAGATTGTCTTAGCAGTTAACATCAGGACATTTTAATAACAGGCTCACCTCAATCGCGGCTCGCGCGATCTTGTAGTCTTACGCAACATATTATCCAAAGGACCCTGGCTGGGATCTTGCACAGTCCCCCAAACTATGCTAAACTTGATGGCAAGTCACGTTATTTGCTGTGTCCCATTGCCGGTTATCAAGGTAAGATTGTCTTGACCAAATAGTGAGTGACATGAATCTAGTTGACTATCTACTGAGTCAGAGAAAAGTTTAACGATATTAAACATTCGCGCATTTCATTTCCTACAATCTATTTTTTTTTTCGGGACAAAAGAAAACCGCTCGAGGTTGATTTGGGCTCGCGGTCGCATTGTCTCGGGTAACGCTACATGCCGGCGACAACAACGTCCATTGAGATTCTGATTTATAACCTACTATTGCGTTCGGTAAATATTCGAACTCTCTGTTATTTCGAATTCGGACCTATTTCTCTTCGATTTGCCGTTTTTTAATCACTTCCTGTCGGCTACATCGACGCCATTCAGCTCCATTCCGACGTGTTACGTAAGCTGAAAAATCTTCGACCGCACAAAGTCGTGTTGTAGCAGGCACTAGTACTCAATGCTTGACGCAAACTACGCTATTTTGAACTGATTTGTTTGGTCTTTGACCTAAAATCAACCCCTTTTTAGTTCGAACTCGAATGGTAAAGTTCAAATATGCACATGAAACCTTATCGAAAACACCGGAAATAATTAATTTAGAATTCTTTGATCGCACTGTTATCTTCTTTGTCCATCGAATGTGGCGCGAAGAATGCGTAAAGAATAGACTACGAGTAATCCCTCTTTCGCTTAGTCCGTCGCGCGTAACGCGAAAGAAAACCGCGAGAAAAAAAATGGTCGCGCGAAATCCTCCTTTCTCGCGCTCCTCGCCCCCGGGATTTCGCGCGGCCATTTTTTTCTCGTGGTTTTCTTTCGCGTTACTCACGACGGACTAAGCGAAAGAGGGATTACTCGTAGTCTACGTAAAGAAGAAAAATGGCAGCAAAAGCGAGAGGGATAAGTTTATTATTTACTTCATGTTTATCACTTCCAATGAAGGCTGCTCGGATAAGATAAGAGTCATTCCATCATGTTACGTGCATGTTTATGTTTACGTGTTATTTTGTTATTTTAATTAATTATATATATATATTTTTCGGAGTGTAGCCTAGATGACGTTTAAAGTAAATAAAATAGTCTTTTCACATTTCACTAGCAAAATAATAGGCATTTCAAGCTCACAAAAAAAGAGGAACTCCTTTTTTAACACGAACGTTAACTTACATTGCTTGCTGGAGTAATACTTTTTACATAAGATAGTTCTACTTAAGAATTTCAAGTATCTCTGGATCTAGATCGATGTATTAAGTGTTTCTTTATCTGTGAAAATAACGTTAAGTTCCTCTGAAATGGAAATCTTGACTGGTTCACGTTCTCCACTGGTAAAACGCACAATTTACATTTGCATCAGGTTCTCGTGTTGTTGTTTTTTAGATGACGGCTTAAAAACATACCACGATTTGTAACGCCTCTGCAGACGTGTAGCAGATTTATCAACCGGCTTGGAGCGACTCCACACAGTTTGTATCCACTAATATCACGAGCAAAAGATTCCGCCTGGACGTGGGGCTAAACGTCGCCAAGTACCGACTCAAAGATGAGCAGGATTACACTTTGTTTCTGCGTCTTTGGGACCTTCACTTTCTTCAACCAAGAAATGCTTCTCATAGCATCACAGGACATTCTCAGTGGCCTAAAACTGCCAACAGCCACAATCCTCATTTGCCTAATTGCACCTCTGATGATCATAAAAATTATCGCGCCCTGGTTTATTCAAAAAATTCCTTACGTCGTAAGGGTGTCCTTCGTCGCTCTGTGCATGACTCTGGCACTTGTTCTCATCGTATTCGTTGAAAATATCAAAGTAAAGCTGGTAGGAATCGCGTTAAATTCTTTGGCTACAGGGACTTCTGAAATTACATTTCTTGGCCTCACATCGTTTTATCCACGAACTTACATAAGTGCTTTCGTGGCAGGCACTGGAATGGCTTGTCTAGTCCCTCCACTTTACTACACAGGTAAGAGAAATATTCCCAATTAAGAAAGTTGGCCATTAAGCTACGATGATTAATTCATGTAATCCCAACAGGACCAACAACATTCAAAGCCACGAAGCCATACAAATAGGCCATTTCCGAGTTACTTTGTGCCTTTGTTACAAAGCGACGCTTCGTGCGAAACCTTTCTCATGAAAGTAAGTCTGATTTGCATGAAGATGAACCTGCATGTAGGTGGAACACATTTTCATGTCAATGTTTTCGCACGAAGACTCCGTTTTAACCCTTCAATCGATGGATTTAACCTTAAGAAGACACCATTTTATTCTAGAGATTTCTATTTCTGGCCATTGTCTGGAGAAAATCTCACCGAACTCTCAGAACTCGTACTCCTGACCTCTGTTGATAGATAGCTTATTAGAAGTAGACCAGTAAAGAAAAGAAAGACTATAACGTGTCTTTCGGCGTCCCCTCCTTAAGCTTCTGACCCTCAATCCGTACCAGGTTTGCTCTTAAATCTCATTTTTATATTATCATTAGCTATATATAGAAGTCAATTTATTTACGGTCTAATGAGAAAGTCAACATTGATCGGCTTGTTCATTCCTCAGGGATCACAACATGGACTTGCTGCGCACCGAAGACTGCCATCATGGCAGTGATCCCGTTGCCTCTACTGCTCCTTGTGTTCTATGCAATTCTGGACAAGAGCTACATCACAAACGGCTCCAACAGCAGACGCAAGGAGCGCATCCAGGTGGAGTACACAATTATACCATCCACCTCTGACATCAAGGACCAATTCGCGACTGACATTCAATCGTCCATCTGTGGGGAAAAGCTGAGAATCGGTGTGAAAATTCTTCCGTACATCATTCCACTTCTACTGAGCTTCTTTGCAGAGTACCTGTCCAATTCATCCGTGATTACCACGATCGTCCCCAATTCCAAAGTCCCTCCTCGCGATCACTTCCTTTACTACCTCTTCTCCTATGAAATCGGCAAGTTCCTCGGGAGAAGCCATCTGTTTATACTCTCGTGCCTGCCGTCTGACTCCCTGGAGGTCTTGAGGTGCAAGAGGACATGGGTGTTCGCGTTGATTGAGCTAGCGCATCTTATTTTTTTCCTGTTAGAATCCTGGTATCATTTCGTCTGGTACATGTGGATAGTAATCTTCCTCTGCTTTACCCTTGGTCTGGTTGCTGGAATGCTGGTCTTGCACTCGCCCCATGCCGTCTCGGGTCATGTTGCGCCCGAGGAGAAAGAGTTTGCCCTGGGACTGCTGACAGTCGGTAATGCAGTCGGCGGATTCGTGGCCGGGTTACTTGGCCTGGTTGTGGAGCCATATCTGCGAAAGAAATGCCTCGTACATTACTCAGCCAGCAAAGAGCTTTGTTTCACAAGAACTCAGAACACCACTGGATGGGACAGTAATATACATTGTTAAACGTTTCTCCGTTGCAAATCTATGAACTGTTGAGAATAGTCGAATGCCAAATTTTACAGTATGGTAAACTTTCAGAGCCCAGCTTAGCGAACTCGAACAGCTCAGAAAACGTTCCATCTTAGCACCTTCCGTTGTCCCCAGTCCCACCCTCCTTCCCAGTGACGGATACTTAAATGCTCAAAGAGGAAGGTGGAAAGGGGGCCAAAGAAAGTTTTTTTTTGCTTAAATAACAGGGGGGGGGGTTGGAGGATGACGTGACGTCACAATTTGACTATCACTGGCACTAGGGCTTGCCACAAGTTGCTCGAGATTTCCCAAAAAGTTTCCCGAAATTTCTCAAAAAGTTGCTCAAAAGTTGCTTTTTGTAACGAAAGTTGCTACAAAAAGCAAAAGCTTTTTTTGTTTCTCTCTTCTTTTATTTGGTCTGATGCAAAAATATGAAATCTGTACAACAAAAGTAAAATGTCTGAGTATTTTTGTGCAATTTTGCCCGGTAACCAGCGTCGCTGAATAAATTTGTTCACAATACGTATGAGTGAATACTACGCATCAATATCAATATAACAATATTGATCTTGTAAAAATTCTATTATGAACCAATAAAATTGTCGTTGCTGTTCACGGTCACGAATTCTAACCATTTTCATTTTCGCTGGAGTACTCAGTCTTGCCCCTGCTTCTGCGGCTACCCTCAAAGGATCTGAATGACCTTCGTAACCTGAAACACTCG